ATAGTTTGGATTTGCATTTCATAGTTTAGTTTCTCAAAAAGGTCCCAAATTTGTTTATCCATACTTGCTCTTATCTTTTGTACACTTATTTATTTATATATGTACGGTAATTTCACTTTCTTTCCTCTCTTGCAATTTTTCTTTCTGAAGTATAAGAATGAAATTAATTTTATTTGCGTTAATCCGTACGTGCTGAAAAGTAACTCGAAGCCAGAGCCACGAAATCTGTCAGTCGCTCGAGATGACGAATAAACAAGAAAGTCGTTGTCTATGGCCGGTGGTTTGATTATAAAATAACATCAAAACTCGTAGTTATATTGTTGAATCTTGTAAATTTCGCGTTCTGCGATGTTATTTCTTTGCTGAGTTTTGAATAAACTTGGTTGCATTTACTTTTATTGCAATTTTAGTGGGATTATCACTGTTTTATAAATATTATGTACGAGAACACTAGTAACGAGTATTCTCAAATTGACAGCCGGAGAACCTAACCATAACAAATCTTTCCACTATATACATTGACTTACAATTATATGGACGTCGGGTCCGCGCTAAAAAGTGTCCACACTTGTAAGGCGCTAAAATCGTATACAGAGCGCCTCCGCGAGCAAAATCTCCGTCCGACATCCGTCCGAAACAATTACTGTTAAATAAGTAATATTCGACAAAATTAAAAGACAAGTATCCAGTATGAAGCTTCATTTGCGTCACGCGTCTTTTCATTTGGTCAAGTATTGCTTATTTGGCAGCAATTGTTTCGGACGGAGATCGAGAGTAGACCCCCTGACATGCGGAATCGATTTCGAAACTATATATTATTGGATATAGTACTACAAGAGTAATGCGGGTTAATCTTAGTATACAGTTTCGAAGACGCACAAAAAACGGTTTCGCGTTCATACCCACTCAGTGAATATATAGTGAAAAATCTGATACGAAGCAATATTGGTATATAGTTTGGAAAATATATGATTTCGTATTGGTAATCGCTCGGCTTTATTCGGCATCGCTATAAAAACGCGACGCGGAGTAATATCGATATATAGTTTCTAAGATACGATATCGGATTTTTGATATTACCACAGTATATAGTTTCAATAACTATATAAGATTTGTAACGCCCATTCCTAATATATGGAAATATAACCATAACAAATCTTTATTTCATTGCATTGTTTCATTATTGTTGTTTTTGTATAACTTATTTATAATTAAATACTTTTTTGTTGAAATAATTTTGTGATAATAAGTTTTGTATTTACAATTTAAACCTGGGTTTCAAGAGAGACAAAAGATGAGAAAATATTTTCAAGTTCACCTGCCGCAATTCGAATTCTTACAACAATGCAAGGTCAGTTTTTTCTAGCGTACCTGCAACTTAGGAAATGACAAAATGGTTGTATACCTGATAGAAATTCATTGGTAGTTGTAAAACTTTTCGTTCCATCTAATTGGCCATACTGCCAGATCTTAGATTGTAATTCTTCTTCAATAGTTAAATTTTTTGACATTTTTCGCGGGAAACCGTTATATCTTCGTGGTGGCCATTTTGAAACTCAGAAACTCATTGGATAATGAAATGTGCAACATAGGGGATAAAGTTAAAATATTTTATTTAAAAAAATGTAATAATTTTTTTTAGCAAATTTTTCAATTATTTAAAGTCACATGTTAATGTAAGGGGATGTTGGATGACTGTCAGTAATATAAATATAATAATTATTTTATTTTATACTTAGTCGGCGTTTTAAAAAGAGATTAGTGTCACTTTGAAACAGAATGTTGCCAGTTTATTGTATAGTGATATGTGATATATTATAGTATATGACAAGCTCACAGAAAAAAATTCAGTAGTCTGTCAGAAAGTTAATGATTTGTTTATTATTAATCTCCTAAGATAATAATAATTCATTTACAGTTAGTCTGTACAAACTTTTATAGATTTTTTTAAATCAAATTCTTGATTTTTTTTTACCTACAATTTAATCAAAAGATTTACCTCGATAACCATTGACCTGATAACCTTGTAAGTTAAGTCAGAATTCATTTATTTATTGCAATCATGTGGTTGCCATGATAACAATAAAGTACCTAGACATAAACCCTGGTAGGGTACTGCAACATAATGAACAAAGTCCATGCAATCGATCTATTTAAGTCTACACTATTTTTATTTCATCAAAAGCTACCAACCCACTCAACCTAATTATCACTAAACTCAATTGTTTTATTATCTGGTAAAATTACAGGCACATGCCACCAACTATGTCAACTATGTCTCAGGGTGACGGGTACAGTGGCAGTGACCATCAGATTTTTGTGATTTAAAGCTCAATACTCAATACTCAATCAAAGCTCTGAGTGGCACTGCAACTGTTATGGACAGGCGTGTCGCTTATCACCATGAATCATAAAAAAAAAAATTTATGTTTTTTTGTTATTAGTTTAACATTGTGTTGATTACCCCTTCACATTGTTTTTTAATTGTGACAATGATAATGAAAAATAAATTATTTTATACTGAGAAAGGTACTTAATTTTCTGTACCAGAGGGTAGATTTTGCTAGCCCAACCAAAGAATGTATGGAAAGTAACACAGGTTTATATATTGCATATGTTGAGACACGTATGGTACCTTTATGTACCCCTATTGCTTGTACTGTTTTAAATATTACTTTTACATACTTATATATACAAATATGAAACAATGGGAAGTATTTGAGTAAACATACAACATGTAAACATACAACTAAAAAATGTATTAAATAAGTAATTTAAATTACAAAAATCAGAGAAGTTACAATAAGTACCCAAATTAAGATTACTATACTATATTAAACAATGTAATTTTGTAACAATTTACACTACGACTGACAACTATTTTAAATTTTATTAACTTTATTCTTTGAGAGTATAATGAATAACAATCACAGAAAGTGGCACTATAGAATAGATACAAGAATGGCACATCTAGATACAATATCTGGGTCACCTACGGCCTATGGTCACTTTTAAAATGTATAAGTTTAAACTATGAGTGTAATTTACTAGGGCCCTTACAGAATACCACATATATTTACCTACTACAGTCCTAAGTTTATATCTATGTGAAATGCAATAAATATGAATTGAATATTAAAACATTGAAGAAACGGAGGGTAGACAGAAAAAACGTGCTGCAATTAAACAGTCTTTTAAATTAGGAATTAATGTTTAATATTTTTATCATTATTCAACTTTGATGACGCTTGAATATGTGTGTATAGTGTGTATTCCTTTTCAAATCCATATCAGTTGATTTAGAATATCAGTCAGGATGTGAGCTGTTACAAAAATATGTTGGCTGATGTATTCTAAAATAAATTTAAATTATAAATTCTTTAATTTTAATTACTAAATATAAAATTTTGAATATTAATATGTATATTATTATATGTATATTAATATGTATAATATTTGAATAACATTGCACACTGTTTTGTTCCTTGAATGTAAACGGCATTTAGTTTTTAGGCTTAAATGTTTTATTACGTTTTTTTCATGTGTAATGTCCTAAATAAATAAATAATCACGGGGTTATAATTTTAAGTGTTCGAGCACACGAAACCTTAATTGTTTACGTCGATGTGGCCAAGTGATCCGTTGGTATTCGACTGAATATGGACAATGCTAATGTAATCCAATACCTTTATTATGATCAGACAACAAATTTACATGCGTGCATGCTGCAGTGCATACGTTTTCAATGTTTTCAATCGTAGCCAAAGTACGATTTCGTAACAAAGACACGAATTCAATGACGAATTGTATCACTTCAAACATGAGTGAAAGTAAAATTTTGAGTTGGCCTCCCACAAGTCTGTAGTCGATGTGTAATTATCCAAAATATCCCCCACAACAGACTATCCATTTGCACACCTAAGTTAACGTACAAAACATTCCATTTTATAACGGTAATACGAAATGTTTTTATAGATAACGATATTTACACTTACCTTGTAGTAAACATCCATGAGGATTGTGTCTGGCAAACATCGCAAATCATTCCTCTCGCACTTGGATTTATTCAAATAGTTCACTAAATTTGTCAGGCACAGCTCGTATAAATTATCGGGTATTTTCTTAGCACGCGCCGCCATCAACGCCTCAGCCATCTTGGCGTAATAAAATAAAACTCGCTTCATTTTTCAGTACGCAAATTGACAGTTGTTTACACGTACGAATTTCAGATCAGTGAATATTACTTGTGATTGGTTGATTTAATACGTTCCAGAATATTTTCAATTTTATTGGCTGTCAATTTGAAAGAAAGGTAGAAGTTTTCGAAGTTAGTGGCTCTGTTCTGCCACACGTAGTGGATCAAGTGATAAGAAACAAAACAAGTGTTGTGCGAAAGAGATAGATAGTAATCTTCATTTTAGCTTACGGTCGAGCAGCTGATTTGAGGGAAAAAGTGTCAGCGTGTCAGCTGACCGACAGCGCGCGGCAAAACTTAAGCGAAGTGAATCTCGCACTTCTTTTTATAAAGTCACGTTATCTCGTAGGTGTGTTTGCGAATTGCTTTTTCTACGATATTGATAAAAAAACACACGTGATAAAGATGGGCGTGAGGCGTGTGGCGTGCAAGTTGCATGTACGGTATCTGTAGTATAATAATCCTGCTGTCGATATTTTTACTCAGTCGTAAGTAAATCTATAAAACTGACAAGTCATTATTTTTTTTTACGAGCGTCTATTACAACACATTCTTATATACAGCCAATATGAAACTATTACGTGTATAGTCGAAATAAAACGACAATCCAACTTCATTTGAACAATTTATTCAAACGATAAACTAAAAATATTTAACACTAAAACTGTTAAATGACACATTCATGTGCTAACTAAACAAAACATACTTTTAAAGCTGTTACTAAAGCAAATGCTTTCGCAGTATTCCTTTTTTTTTAAATAATAACTTACTACGTAAATAGTAAGGAGTTTTTATGACGAAATTAATTAAAAATGATTTTTTTTAAAGGAACGTTATACATAAAATCGTTCTTTTGAAATTATAATGGTATATTATAATTATATGCGACAGTTTGTCATTTTACAAGAAACAGACCTTTACCCTTGGTCATACTATCATTTGTCTATTGTTTGTAAAGTTAATTATCCATTTCAGCAAGGAAATATTCTGTGACTTCTCATACTACTGTGTTATATAAGGAAAGTTTCTCTTTTTTCATACTAACAAAGATACAAGTAACATTTATTGTTTGCCAATTGTAAATTTCGAAATGCCGTCTAGCAGAGCGATGTAGGCTGCGTGCTCGTATGCTGTGCTGAAGTCGGAGAGCTTCTGGACGAATTCGTTGCTAATGCCCTTCTCTTCCAGCAGATTCATAAGAAGATCGTAGAGGTACTGTGCAGAAAAAAAACACGGATAAGTATTCATACTTTTCATCATTTACCATTTGTACGAGGTAAAACAACTTATAATGCGAATATGAAAATTACACGATCGATGTTATCACCTGCTGAAATATTGTTCTACATTTTAATTACACCCTGTATGTAAACAAAGATAGCAATCTATTTATCTCAGCAGCGTGGGTGTGTACTCTAAAGTCCTTTCCAGCCGAAGTTCATAACGCATGTTTGTTTTTTAAAATTAGTATTCACTGTTTTAAAAAGATATAGAGCAAAGTACCCAGCATACGAGACAAAAATATAAAAGAAATAAATTCATTAGTAACTTAAAAAAACACTCTTACTAATAAAAGCTATATATACTATACAATATTTGGACGATAGTAACGTCGACTTGTTGTTGTTGACGAATGTTGCAGTGCCGTTGCAGGGTTCTTAGTATGTTTTTCATGTTTAATATAAGATCTGTAACTACGTACATATTATGGTGCAATAAATAAATGAATATGAAAAAAGTAATGAAAAGAAACTCTGGCCTCAACTCTGGTTTGAAATTGGACGTACTAATTTTCTTTCCCAATTTTTCAAATTCAAAAAGACATTTGCTATTATGAACATCAAAGAACTACCTTAACGTTTTTATTATCTTACTTTTGTCTATTCTTCTATTTTTGTTTACTCGGACAATAGTGGAGACAATATCTACCTGAAAATGTCGAAGTGCGCGGTATTGCCTTGGAATAATACTTCTTTTCACACTCTTTGTTGTATTTCAATAACTATTTCCAGGTAAAAATTACAATATGTTGTAAAACAGCATCAAATAACGCGCTATTTTCAATAGTTTTCAATTTGAAATGATTTTACTAATTTATCCTACATTTCTGTTCAATTTTACAGTTATGTCGTTATTTATATGATGGGTGATATTAATTTAAAATAGGATTTAAAATTATCAAGACATTGATTATATAAACATGATAATTATGCATGCTGATTCATAGTATCGTTTGTTTAATTTTTAACTAAAAATGACAAACAGTGAGTAAACTAAAATCTTTAGGAAAAGGATTTGGTGTACGAGTTTTTTGAGATTGATATTTCAAATTCAAAATAATCTTTATTTCATAGGTAAGCATTATTACACTTGAAATCGTCACAATGGTTAAACTCTACCGCTCATTCGTAAGGCAGATTCCACTGAGAAGAATGAGCAAGAAATTCTAGGGGTTGCTCTTTATAAATAACATTTACAATATTTATTTTTTATTTGAAACATCAGAGATCGAGACTACCTCCATGAGCTAAACGGGTTACTACCACGGATTTTTGTCATCCAAGTACGCAGAAGTTGTATAATAACCTTTAGTATAAAGGTTTTGATTCACTATAGTTTCAAACCTCGTGAAAGGCAAATTTTGTATATCAACCGGAATCTTGTTATAGAAGTGTATACATTGCCCCTTAAATGATTTTTTGACTTTGTGAAGACGACTATCAAGACAAGCTAGTTTATTTTTATTCCTCGTATTAATGTTATGTCTGTCACTATTTTTCATAAAGAAATTACTATTTCTTTTAACATAAATTACATTTTCATAAATGTACTGTGAGGCTAGCGTAAGAACGTTCATTTCCTTAAACTTATCTCTCAAAGATACTTTGGGGCCCAGATTGTAAATTGCCCTAACTGCACGTTTCTGCAGAACAAAGATTCTATTGATATCGGCGGCATTACCCCAAAGCAAATATTTGACACATCTCGGATGCACATGAGCACGACATTGCTAGATGTAGCATTATGTTATTCCAATTAATAATATTAATAATAATTATAAAGATAATTACATAACATATCGCACTGCTATTACAATAGTATTATAAACCAAAATATGTGAAATTTAATATTATATCATTACTGAACGTAAAATTTGATTCTCTTCACGTCAAAAAAACCGTCGTTAGAATATTGTAAGAAATAATCAAAGATATCTACTTACCACAAAATGAGACACACTTTGTGTGAGCTAGTTCTGGCCAAAATAATCCTTTTTTTATTTCTTATTTTATTGTTAAATATATTTGAAAAATTGTTTAAATGTCTATAATAAACTATAACATACAAATTTTAATGATTTTCTGTGGGAAGTGAGTAATTCGTTTTTCAATGATTCTGAGAAAGTCCTCTTTTTGAGTTAATGCACTATTGTATTAACAGTGCGATATATTTATCAAAATAATTATGATAATTATAATGATAACTGTCATTTAAATATTTAAAAATAGATTACAAAACAATGTTGCACGTCAATGAATATCTCCCATACGACATGGAAAGATCAACTTCATTTGAATGCATTTATATCCCCCGATTTTGGCACCTGATTACTACATGTGATAATAGTATCAAGCGTGGCGAAAGAAACGGGGTGAATAACTGTCCTCACAATTTGGGCCGGGATTCGAACCTGGGACCTCTTGGTTTAAGGTTGACGGACTTGACCACTGAGCTACAGGACCTAGTGGAGTAAGTGACGAATTTGTGGTATATATTGTTGCTGTACAGCCAAGTAAAATTTGTAATATTAATTTTGTAATTAGTGGAAATAGAATGCTTAGAATAATGAGCAGTGATGTCGGGTTTTACCACATAATAATAAATACAATGCAGTAGAAGTGCTTACTTTGCGAGGCACACGTGCCAAAAGTTTGCGAAGTTCCGCAAACTTGAGCTTAGTAATGTAGTATGTCATGGTTGTCTATTATCTCGCGCAAAACTAGAAAATCGTAGAAAAATGCCTTATTTCGTTACTTTCGAGAGCAAAAATGATAATCGCTCATGTAATGTGTTATATATGATGGTGTTTCGTATCACCATTAAGTCTTATTTAGTTTAATTTTAATGAATTTCTAAATTTTTTGTTTATCGCATTATTTTTTTGTTACAAGAAACGAAGTAAACCTTATACCGCTGCAATAAGGTTTCTTTTTTGGTGAACTAAGTAGACATGTCGAATTCGTTGTCGCTTAGCAATTAATCTAGATAGCAGGACATTGATTGAAATTTCAATATAAAATCAAAACGTCGTAAGTAACTTGCAGAACTTTCAACAATATGTCAACAAGGTAAAATTTAAATTATATTAACAGTCCAGAATTTGTTATTTCTTTCTACATTTTACGACCAATCATTATCCAGCTTTCTTTGTTTCAAATGTACATGTGATACCCTGTAAGGACACAGCAAAGTGACGAGGGCAATTACTCATTACAAAAGTAATAAAATTGTGATCATATTAAATAAATCATTACAATTATACATGCATAAGATAAATTGAGAACAAACAAATTAATTAGGCAATAAATTAAATTTTGTCATTGAAAAATTCTTTAATATCATAATAACTTTTATTTACGACGAATTCTTTTAGATGTTTGGAGAAAATTTTAAATTCTTGAATTTCTTTTATGTAAATTGGTATGTGATTGTAAACTGCCTCCGTGGCCGAACGGTTACCAAGCCGGACTGCCACGCAGAGGTCCCAGGTTCGATTCCCGGGTCGGGAGAAATATTTGTATGGCCTACATTTATTTCTCTCGTGAGTTTGGGTCTAATTTGTCGTTGTCTATGTGTGTATCCATGGCACCCGCGACATAGGGTTTATCTAGTGCGGGGCTATGTTGAGTGTGTGCGTTATTATTTGATGGAACCTCTCTGAAATAATAAGAGAAGTATAAAAGGAATTGCTGTGATAAAAAAAACAGTAATTAATGTAAAACCTTACCATGTAGCCTAATATTTTGTTTTCAGACTAACTAGGAACTAGACGACCTCCCATGCAAAGTTAGGTGAAATTCCTAGCAATTCTGAACTACTCACCGATTTGCAAAGGAGTGTTTAGTGAAATATTAATTTGGTTTATTGATTTTTCTACACCGTTGAAGAAAAATTTACAATTTTCAAACAGTCGTCTAAATGGCGTGAACTTAGTAAAGGTAAATCGTAATTTTTGGGAAATTTAAAATGATACTGACCCCGTCAAGCACGTCACCAGCAACGGCGTACACCTTATCGTTCCATTCGCCTTTGTACAACGTCACTTCGTCGATACCAAATATGTCATCTGAAACAACATATAGAATAGGATGTTTTTTTTAAATTTTCTGCACACACACATCAAAGATGGGAGCATGAGCTGAAGCTAACTGCAGACCAATATTTGAGAAGAGTAGCTCTTGATAGAGTGTACTGGAAAGATCTGAAGGAGGCCTATGCCAAGAGGCACGCTGAGTTAAGAGATATAATGTAAAAATCTTAAATGCAACATAAAATTGTAATGTAAAGAGTATTTGCAACTCTGAACTCATGAACATACATACATACTCACGTCTTTAGATTCCCATTAGGGTTCCAGAGATTATAGATCAGCATTTCACACGATCCTGGCACACCTCTCCCGCTTCGTTTATTTCGGCAATCTATTCACACAAGCCCTTCAGCTATTCCAAGAACAGGTTGGATATGTATATCTCTTTCGCCACTCTACCTTCATTCATCTACTCCATGCCCAAACCAACTTAATATACATTTCTCAATTTATGTCACTGCATTGTTCGTATATTACTGTATTCCTCACCCTGTCACATAACTGCACATTTATATACTTCTCTGAGCAACTACAATTCAACTGCATTCACAAATCAACGTAAGAAGCTGAGAGCTGATTTGTTAAATCAATAAACAATTCATAAATAAAAATTATATGTGACCTGCCACTCATGTCGTATCATTCAATGATTCTAGTGTTATTTAATTAGCACAGCTTCGCGATCGAGCGCTTGCAATCTGATCAAGGTCAGAAGCGAATTTTTGTGGATTGTATTATTATATAGGATTTTTTTTGACACAGTGACGGGGCGAACTAGTCGTGCGCCTGGTGGTACATTGCCTGTCGATAACAGTTACAGAGCCACTCAAGAGCTTTAAATCACAAAGATCTGAGGAGCACTGCCACTTGGCCGTCACTCCGAGACAGCCAAGTAATGCTCATTTTGCTACTTGGCGATAGAAAAAGGTGGCAGTACTCCCCTGGACAAACGCTTTCACAATGAGCTCAACTGCTGCCAGAGAAATTTTAATATATACAATGATCAAAATACTCACTGTATTCGTCAGTGGAGGTAGTTGATGGTTCCTGTAGAAAAGAACAGGTGAATCCAAGAGTCATGTCTCCTCTCACGAGGTCCACTTCGAACTGGGGCTTGGATCGCATTTCAGCAAACTCCTGCTTGTCAGGTTGCGCGTCGGCCTCGAACTCGTCAGAGTCAACAGTGTGGTTCACGTTGAATGTTACTCTTACACTGTAATCAGAGAGCGTTAGTTACAGAAAATTCCTAGGCAAACATGCTCCTACCTCCATTTCCTTGCCACTTACTATGATATTTTTATAACTTTCTAATTCAGCATTTGGTTGAGTAACGAGCTTACCTGTAACTGCAATACATATAAGAACAATGCAGAATGTAACCTCTAGTATAAGTATTATATGTAATTCTGTTGTTTTGCCAAATAAATAAATAAATAAATATACAATACTAAGAAAGAAAAATACTTTATATTGGTGACTTTGGTTAAACTGGAACAAAATGATAACAAAAATAAAATACAGAAATTATAGACACATTTCAAATGTAATCAAAAAGGTGTCTAGTTAGCTTTTTACAATGAGACATCGGAAATCGGAAACTTCTCTTGGCACTGGGTTTCAGTGGAACCGGCTCTTTGACAAAGAAAATGTTGCATATATAGACAGAAGGCAGGAAGTTAACATGCATAACTTTCAGCAATTCAAGTTTGTATTCTGTAGTTACGCCATAAATACATAATGTTTTGATTAGTAACCAGGCCCTCATTTACAACATTCAAGTGCAATTGGCTCTTTATGTTTTTGAAGTTACTTTATTTTGTTTATCACAAACTGTAGCAATGATGTTCATTAGCATTTGGCACGTGGTGCAGCATTATGTAATGCAAGTGTTGTTGTACCCTGTGATTGGCACCCAATTAATTACCCATGGTAAGGGTATATCAGGCGTGGCGATATTTACGGGGATATAAGTTCCTTCAGTTGTATAAGCAAATAAAAAGAAAACAAGTAAAGAAAATAGACAACAGTGTCAATATGGAGCAGTAACTTTTAAGCCGACTTTTGCTAGTAGAAATTACTGTTTTAAGAGTCACTCATCATGATCAATGCAGTATTCGTCCTATTGCTCACCACAAGTCTTTCCAAAGGAGATAGTTTTGGGGATATCCCGCCCCCTGTCTATTGCTTGATGGGGACACTTTTTCCAAGGGACACCTTCTTCAACATGCAGATTTTATCACAATGTTTCTCTTCATTGTTAATAAGAGGTATTGCTACAAAACGTTCACAAATGTATGTAACTTACAAATTAAAGTCATCAGTATACTCCTCACTACTGAATAACAACCATTATCTCACGGAAACCTCTTTACAATATGGAAATGTGAATATTTTAGATACAAGCATTTGCTTGTTTTATCACAACTCACATTTCATCCTTGAGCTGTTTTGAAAGCTCGACTTCAGCACCCTCACCCTTGACTATGAACCCATCCACTTCAGTTGGTAGAGCCTTCACCTTTTGCGCTTTGCGTTCTGCTACTATCTCTTCCGTCAGGAACTCAACCAGCTCACGTTCACCTGAATATTACCAAGTTTCGATTTAGTATGCAAAATAAATCGTTGTGGTCTTCTTGATAGTGCCACATCTTTTCTTCTAGAGCTGAACTCTATACTACTTATACAAATATACATATTATCACTCCTATCTCCCACTGGAGAAGAAAAAGACTGAATTTGTATTCACACTTATTTTTGTCTCATATCTTTATGCAGAAACAAGACACAGGTCTCAATTACTGGATGTGGATATGACAATAATGTACCCTGCATTTGGCTCTAAGTCTCCTCGTGTGTTAAGGAACTTAGTGTGGCGAAATATGTAGGGAATTAAACCTTAATCTAACTCTATTACGTAATATACTATTGTAGGTACTGCTGTTTGTCTTACACAAACTATTGGCAAAAATTTTTATTTCCCCATTAGCAACATTTCGTAGATTTTTCAGGGGAACATGTTTTGGTTTTAATTAAGATTATCTACGGAGTTTTTACAAAACACTGATGATATTTAACAGACACAGAGTACATGAGACAGGAGTATCCCAGCATTGCTTGCTCTAGGTTACAATAAAATGCATTGGTCTTGACTTTTAGACTAAATTAAATTAATTAATTAAATAAATTCTACCATCTGATAAAAAGAGCGGAAACTCCACTATGTAAATTCTGTAACAAACTTGAAGATATGCTACATTTTATGTAATGTGGCCATTATGTGGCTCTAAGAAGCCAATTTCAATTAGGGGATATTTAGCAGGTTGGGGAGTTAAATGTCGTGTTGGGTGAACCGTTGGCGAAGAGGGCTAGAACTCTATACTCGTATGTGAAGCGAAGTCTTGTCTCAGAACAATATAATCCATAGGGATTAACATCACAAGGCCGATATTGATACCTAAGTGGTACAGGCCTTATTAAAAATATGATTATAAAAAAAGGTTACAATATAAAAAGTGAGCTATCAATTGAAATTTTGTAAAACGAACTAAATATTTTCTTGCAAATTTAAAATAACTTTCCTACTAAGTTACTCATTTCCTGTCAAAGCTCTTTGGGACGTCTGGATTCAGACCAATAGTCCTGAACATTTTACCCTTTGATGGGTGCGTACGAAACTCCATACAGGGCACAGGTTACAGCTAGTGGACATCAACAGTCATAGCCAGAAAAATCTTTGAGTGCTTTAACACTGTTGGCCTTCGGAATTGTAATTAATAATAACGCACACACTCAACATAGCCCCGCACTAGGGAAGCCCTGTGTCGCGGGTGCCATGGACACACACATAGACAATCACAAATTACACCCAAACTCACGAGAGAAATATCTATAGACCATACAATATTTCTCCCGGCCCGGGAATCGAACCTGGGACCTCTGCTTGGCAGTGATTATTTAATTATGATTATAGTAGATCAATTACGGGTAACAGGGACGAGTAGCATAATAAGTTGCTCATAATCATAATTACCAACTAAAATGAGAGAAAAAGAGACCATTTGATCTTTGTTACATTTTGTGTAAATGCAGTAGTCTCATGTAGATTCTCTGTTGAGAACTAAGAAACCCTAAAAAGAGACTGTGTCAATAACAATGTGGTCCACATTTGCTTAAATTCCAACCTAGGTATTTTCCCGTGCTGCAAGTACCAAAATGATGAAATTAATGCAATGCAATGCTTTTCATGCAATTCTGCTCGACATTTATGAAAAGGACTTTAATTGGTAAACTTTAAGTCAATTATCCAACGGCATATAAGTCATTCTCTTTACTATAATAGAACTTTGTAGCTTGAGGAGATTAGGAGAGAAGGGAGCAAGGAATAAGGAAGGGACTCACCAAGGGGTTTAATTTTTCCAGGCTCTGTCTCTACATCTGGCCCTGTATTAAAATAAGGATTAAAAACATTTATGTGTCAATTAATTGGTAATTGAGGGTTTCAGAGGGCAATGATTACGGCATGGTGTAACATAACCTCAAAATTTATGTACAAGTTTTACCTTTCGTGTGCAATGCTTTGAGGCTGCAACCACAACTGCATGTGTTGGAATTGTTGTGTAGAAGCTTTGATGCAGATTCGACGGCATCTAGTCTGTTGGAACAACTCATATGCCATATTCCTCTAGTAAAATCACGCTTCACGGGAGCCTGAGTACGAGTGACCAGGGCACCCGATAAACTTGTAGTCTTCACGCAACTTTGTATGACTCTGTGAGCTGACCTTACAATGCCATTCATTTTTAAATAGTTGTGTACTAATTACAACACTTCTCAAAAATAAATCATAAAATATGTAACTAAGCAAAAATCCGCACAATACCGGTGGTTTTCCTGTGTTCCTAGATGAAAAAAATATTTTTGCATATTACTAATTTTGTAACTAGTATCGCATGTTATGCTGTCATATAAGAAAACCGGTAAACACGTGAAAACCCACAGCCCTAGCTTCCGATTTTCTACATATCTATGATTCTACTGCTAAGGCAAAAACGGCTATTTGTCAATAATGAATTATACTGTTAAGCAATTTTTCAATAACTGTTATTGTAACCTGTCAAACATACTAGAGTACTTTTACTCCTTTATGGGGTCGTATTCCAGAACTCTACTCATTGCTCAAGTAAGGACTTGAGTATGATTTCAAGCACTGGAAATCAAACTCAAGTCCTTGCCATTAGGGTCGTATTGAGTAGAGTTCTGGAATACGACCCTAAGGGACTCAATGCCCTTAAAATATGACCTTAATGGCATCATACTCAAGTCAGGATCTGTGTACGATTTCAAGCACTGGAAATACGACCGTAATGGCAGGGACTTGAATATGATTTCGAATGCTTTAAACCATACTCAAATCCTGACTTGAGCATTGAGTAGAGTTCTAGAATACGACCCTTAGTCAACTCTAAGTACAGTCAAGAGCACATCAAGCTTGACATAGCGATGGAACCATGATGGAACGAGTTATATTTGTTTCAACTCGAGTTAATTCGACTCGGTATTTGACAGAGCAACCGCGAGTCGCGAGTACAACTCGAACCGACGATTCACCGAGTTGGATACGATCGGCAGGCCGACCGCGACTCGAGCGTGACCGAAGGTCACCGAACCGACCGAGCTAGCTCGAGTACACAAAATGTAGTTCCAGTTGACTCGTTGTGGGAGTAACTCGAGTTAGATAACTCGACTCGCCCATCGCTCGCGACTCGAGCGTGCTTTGAAGGTCACCGACGCGCTGTATGAATGAAGTGTCCGGTTCGGCGGCGGACGGGGCGGGTCAAGCCAGTTAGCTCGAGTTCCCCCCCCGAAGGGGTTCCCTTGTCTTGCCTTGTCGTGGCTGGGGGGACTCTAGTAGCCGTGGTCGATTTCATCCCACGATGAAGCTAAGAGGAACCCACGGGACCGGCCGATGGTGGTAGGCTGGCCCGCGGAGGAGGGCGTTCCGCGCGGGGATCGTCTGGTCAGCGGGACCGCGCGGATGCGCGTTGGGAGGAGGGTCGCGGGGGGAGAGACGTGTCGGTGTGTCGTTGCCGCTCGTCCTGTCCTCCGCGACCCTGGCGGGGCTGCACCGCTTTCAATGATGCAGTGGCGGCGGGGCCGAGGGGGAAGAGACGTGTCGGTGTGTCGTTGCCGCTTGTCCTATCCTCCGCGGCCGAACGTGGGCGGTTGGCCCGTGGTGGGCGCTCCAAGGGACTCTCTTCGGAGAATCCGCGCGGAAGCGCGTTAGGTGTTGCGGCGGAGCCTGCCATCACATCCGCCGCGGGGGCTGGGGGAGCAGCCACTGAACTTCACAGAGTGAATGCTGTCCTGGCCCCCCACGGCCCCTGGGTAGCGGGCTCGGGGGAGTTCGTTGCCCAGCATAAAGGGGCCCGGGATGGAAGGCTCGTCTGATGTTCGGCGAGCCCCACATTCGGAGTCGGGGGACCGATGTGTCTCCCTTCTCGGGAAGGGGCTGCGCAGGGCGCGGCCAGCCGCTGGTGGGGGCGCGGACGAGTGCAACAGCGTACCCGTACCTCCACCTACAGCGGAGAGGAGGAACACTCCGGGGGTTTAGTGCGGTCGAGCTGGGTTCAGTCCAGTCCTACAACACCGGCTCTACCCCCGCGGGGCCGGGGTATCTGTAAGCAGATTCCCCCGGATTAACAAAAAAAAAGTTAGCTCGAGTTCATGAAAAAGTAACTCGAGTTGACTCGTTATAGGAGTAACTCGAGTTAAATAACTCGACTCGCCCATCGCTAGCTTGACACTTTGAAATTGGGACTGTTCTTGTCGTAAGCGACATATCGTCGGATTCAAGTCTAAGTGTCAAGCTTAACGGGCTTTTGACTCTGTACTAAGGTACAGATTTTCATTTTTTAATTTGTGACGTTAACCATAAATGATACACTGTTTTTTTCCATCCTCTTAAGTACGTACACTGCACATATTTTAAAGGCTTAAGTACTTTCTAATTTGTGCACTGTACTTGACGTTAGACATATTCATTCTAACACGCCGCTCCTGGATCCAACTGAAGCAGAGAGTCGTGCAGGTGGTATGGGCGATGCCGCTGCGGTACGCATCACGCGTATTTCTGTGGATGATTTGAGCCGCGCTATACGTCGCCTAAAATCTAGTTCACCTGCTGGGCCTGATGGGATGCCTACATTCTTGGTAAAGGACTGTGGGTCGGTTCTAAAACTGCCGCTTCTCCATATATTAAACCTGTCGGTTCAAAAAGGGCTCTTTCCCAGTGCATGGAAAGTGTCAAGGGTAACACCTGTCCTGAAAAGTGGCACTTCCAAAAAAATCACAATGCATAGACCAATCGCGGTCTTAAGTGTATTTGGTAAAGTTTTTGAACATATTTTAAACTTTTA